TAGAATCGCTATTAATAGTTATAAATGTTTGACGATTTAATAGTTTCGGTAAATTTGCCCCTTTAAAGCAACAGTAACTTCATCATGGTAATATATGAAATGATAATACGGTGATATAATGCTAAAGCTATTTCGAAATTTTATCCAATTTTTTTCTTCAATATCTGCTCGGCTTTCTGTATTATAATTGTATAAAAATTTCTAGTTCTGCAAATGGCTAAACATTACATACTCTGGTATCGAGCTACATTGCAAGTACCATTTGAACCTATGCGACAAAAATTTGATTCCATTATAATATTGGGATGATACCTTTAATGAATTTGCTGGGGGACTAGACTTTCTGAGGGGCATGCTTGACGCACGTTTCGGCACTGGAAGTTGAATGCTCTCATTGTTTGAAGTGCGGCATATACTCGGAGCAAGGAAGTAATATCCTTCTCTTGAACAATTTACTACCTTTACAATGAGTCTGTTATCAAGCAAGTACCATAGAGTTATCTGCGTAGTAAATTTGTATCTAGAATTTTCTATAAATTTTGAAATAGATACGTAGATCAAGAATAAAACCATGGTAACCCACTTGTTCCACCACGCACGCTCGCCACAACCAAGTATGGCGAATTGGATTGAAAATCTCATCTTGGTCATCGTTTGTGTCATTATTGGGGTTGCAGTCATTGATCTGTTTGTATATGAATCCATAAATGCTAAATAAATTATAACCCTTCAGAGTTATATAAAAAATTGTCTGTTTTCTTTAAATAAATGTATTTCTGCAAATAATTAGACAGAATTTTAGGTCCTGGATATAATACTAATTTAAGACATTAATGAAATTGTTGGATATTTAAATCAAAGGTCCTTTATGCCCCAGTATAATAATGAAAAAGAAATATTCGTGAAGAGAAGAAACTGATAATGACGAAGTTTACATGCCATACTGGCCAATGCGGAATTATCAAGTGTCCCGACATAGGTTGGTGCGGCCCCCTTCGGTAAGTACAAATTGTGAAAACCATAATGCATTTTCTATGCTTATGTTTTTTGCAATCATTACAAGTTTATTGCTGTTTGCTAGAAACTAAAATATAGAATAAAAATAGAATAATAATTAGCATCTCTATCATGAAATTCTTGATGTGAACGTAAAATTTCATACGTTTTGTCTCACATTTAGATCGTAGGACTGGACTTGGTCTGTGATGAGCCACCATCATACGACGAAGCGGTGAAGAATTACGTGGCGGAGGTCATGGTGTTGATCTCGGACGGAATCTTGTGAGGTAGAATTTTTGTTGTGACGACTAAGGTACTATACATACGTCGAACCCTACATTTCCAATAGTAGCGACACCCTGGTCGAGATAACAATGGTCACGTCAGTATGTTCAAGATCGTCTTATCGGGTGAATCAGGTGACTAGTTGAGATGATTCGGGGCCTATCTCGTTGGTATCCTTGGTTAATATGCGTCTGCAATTTTGTTATTATATAATATATTATATGAATGTATATATATATATATATATATATATATACTACCTATCGTTACTCACTCCAAAAATTATATCAAGTAGTTAAAACTTACAACTTCAATAACATTTAATTAATACATGATTTAGTAAACTGATATATTCGTACATTTATGTTAAAAATTGTTAAACTTAATAATAAATATCATTTTTCAGCAGGCGTATTCTTCACTTTATCTTAATATAAATACGTCTTGTGTAATCTTTTGTGTGTGTTGTTATTTGTTAGTTATCTGCACTAACACAAATTCTTGCAAGATTAGCTAGGGATCTAATGCTTATGTAATGCACGCAGGCAATTCTGTAAGATGTATTTTGAAGTTATAATTGAGAGGTATAACTTGAGAATGGCAATGTAGAGTACAAGTGTGCTGTAAACAAGTGGCATAAATAAGTTTATACGGTAATCTGCATCCCACTCGTGTCTATGGACATTAAGGCGGTAATCGTGTAATACACCGTGGCTTCATAATACGTCGGGAGCAATGACTTGCAAAATATGAAGAAATTATGATCTACCACACCCACGTAGACGCAAATGCTCCTTTTCGCTCTAATTTGCCTCACGACGTGTCTCTTATTTTGGCTCGAGGCTACGAATCGCTTCCAAATATTGCGAAGTTCGGTAGTGTCGGTGTGAATAGAAATCGCGATTGGCACCATGGTCTGAATTATAGTGATGGCTGCAACTGCCAAGGTTGGAAATACCGCAAAAAATGGCATCGGAATCATGTGATGCATCTTCAGTGATATAAAGTTGTACAAGATTGATAAGACAAAGCCGTTTAGGAGGCAGAGTGCGACAGCCGGAGCTAAAAAGGGATACGATATGGATAGAATTAATTCGCAGGAGGAATATTCCACCAGGTATGGGGAAATTTTAGTAGTCTCAATTAGCCCCGATTTATCGCAAAGGGACTCAATACAGGACAACGTTAGATACGCGGCTAAAGTGCAGGTACACATGGTCATCGCTAAGACTCGCGCCACAAGATACCAGGACCCTATTTGGATGATTTTTAATGGAATGATGCCATATTTTGCCACAGTTTGCCAGTGTAAAGGGACTACGCGGGCGACGAAGAGACTGTAAGGGTCCAGTCCGATGTAGATACCGCAAATGGGAACGATTATTGTGTGAATCACGAACAAAAAGGTGATCGAGTTTAAGACGAGGCCGACCATGTCAATTTTTCCTGCTTTTTGTGAAGTTGAACATGACGTGGGAAATTCTACGGGGACAATGAGAAACGTTAGGATGGCGGTAAGAAAAATTAATTCAGATTGAGATTTTATGCATCTTACTGATTTGCTTTTCCAAAATCGCAACACAATTAAACGACTGAGCCATATTTCCGACATGCATGAAGATGACGATTTCCCCAAGATTGGCGAAGACACCAATAGACAAGAACAGGCAGGATATCATGACCTCTACCAAGGTCATCGTTGCCGTACCAAGCATGGCGGCAAGGAATAAAATTACGTAGACGATATTGGACAGAAATAAGCAGAGCATCAAAACTTTCCAGAAAAACAAGGATTTGGGATTTGTATAGGGAATAAATCTTTTTTTGGAAATGTCCCACTCTATTGGACATGGGGGGAGGAGAGCAAACCCTCGTGAGAAGGTGTTCAGGGATCGCCACATTAGTGAAGTAACGGTTGCCATGATGATATAAATATTGATTGTTTTTTACGAAACTTCTTTGAATTAATTATGGGGCTGTACATAAATCAGCTGATCGATTTGGGGGGAGGGGGGGGGGGGGGTCAAGGCCTCCTATCCTTCCCATGTTAATTATAACATGGGGCATATAGGTCACCAGGGGGGGGGGAGGGGGTAAAAATTTTCCGAAAATCGATCACGTGATTTATGGACAGTCCCTATGTAATTCTTTGTAATGTTTTCTTTGTACTGTCGTTTGTGAGATTGAGCTTTGGGAAAAAAATGTTGGAGATATTTATATAGCAAATGGCTATATTGTTTATAAATTGGACTTTGCTTGGTTTAATAGTTTACTTGTCTCTCATCCCCGCTTTACTTTCTTGGTTTACAAACCTGACATGTGTGTGCATAATTGAATATTTTTTGGCAGGATGTGGATTTATTTATTATTCGTGTTGGACGGTGGAAGGGAAAATATTTTATAGAAATTTGTATGCTTATGTGTATATGTACAGATTATGTTTTAGAATTTCTTGTATTGATTGTTTGGGGAATTTTAAATGTTAAATTAAAATTAATTTCTTGGATTGTACACGTAACAGAAATTTAACAGAAGCAAAATATTATTCTACTTAATTATTGGTATAGAGGAAGAGTGGATAGGTAGGGAGGGTGAATTAACGGGTCAAGGGTCGAATCCTGATACTGTGGTGTTTCCCGAAATGGTTATTTTTTTAAAAATAAATAAAATCAAAAAAATATTTATGTGAATATTTTCATGCGTAATAAACTCATGCAGAATATGCCTTAGTAGACATGGACATATCATAATAAAATATCTTCATCAGTGCCTACTCCATTGACGACTTAACTAAAATTAAAATAAGTTCGGACATTTTTATTAGAATAAATTTAAGTAATTTCTGGTTAGTGTAATTAACAGTTGGAACGACGTGTTTTAACAACGCTTGTATAGTCTCACTATCATAGTCATAGTTTTGTTACAAGTAAAGATAGACAACTTGTGAGGAAATGTATTTTTTGATTTAATATAATTGGTATCGAAGTAAGATTGCAGTTCCCACGGTATCAGGATTCGACCCTCGACTCGTTAATTCACCCTTCCAACTAAAACCTATCCACGCTTCCCCCATTTCAATAATTAAGTAGATTAATCTTTTGCTTACAAATTTCTGCCATGTGTCCAATCCATGAAATTAACTTTAATTTAATGTTTAAAGGTCCCCAAACAATTAGTACACGAAATTCTAAAACATAATCTCTACATACACCGGTATGCTAATTTATATAAAATATTTTTCCTTACACCGCCCAACAGAATAACAAATAAATCGACATCCTGTCAGACAAATACTCAATTATGTACACACATACAAAACTTATAAACGAAGGAAATAATAACACTCTTAATTCGGGGAAATTGAAACGGACTCTGTGGGTTGATGTTGATTTATAAAAACTTTATTTTTCCCCATATATTTCGACAAGATGCTCTTATCTTCATCAGGGGAGGTGGTAGAATTATAATTGAAGATATTACAGTCTAATCAATACACTACTAATTATTGAAATTTTTTAAATCTGGAAAGCAATATGCAAAATCTACATTGATAATGTGAAATTCTATGAAAATCTGCAATACATTAACCAATGATAAAGATTTATGAACAGCAGGATTAAATGTGCGCGTCACAATTGACGCAAATATTGGTATGATATTAATCCTGGAGATAAATATTATCCACGTAGTCGCCTTTTTTGTATTTTTTATAAAGAATGCGTACAAACAACATATGCCCAGAAGGTGTGTGTAGGGTTGGTGTATCGGATACATCGGTGTATCGGAGCGGATCAGATAATCATCGGAGCGGATCGGATAATCATCGGAGCGGATCGGATAATCATCGGAGCGGATCGGATAATCATCGGAGCGGATCGGATAATCATCGGAGCGGATCGGATAATCATCGGAGCGGATCGGATAATCATCGGAGCGGATCGGATAATCATCGGAGCGGATCGGATAATCATCAGAGCGGATCGGATAATCATCGGAGCGGATCGGATAATCATCAGAGCGGATCGGATAATCATCGGAGCGGATCGGATAATCATCAGAGCGGATCGGATAATCATCGGAGCGGATCGGATAATCATCGGAGCGGATCGGATAATCATCGGAGCGGATCGGATAATCATCGGAGCGGATCGGATAATCATCGGGGCGGATCGGATAATCATCGGAGCGGATCGGATAATCATCGGAGCGGATCGGATAATCATCGGAGCGGATCGGATAATCATCAGAGCGGATCGGATAATCATCGGAGCGGATCGGATAATCATCAGAGCGGATCGGATAATCATCGGAGCGGATCGGATAATCATCGGAGCGGATCGGATAATCATCGGAGCGGATCGGATAATCATCAGAGCATATCGCAAATAAAAATATCTGAGTAATATCGGATCGGATAAGATCGGGATTAGAAAGAAAGATTATAAAGATTATAAAATATTTTAAAAATTATAAAGATAATAATATCTTTATCAGATCGGGTCAATCCGACGCATACTTCGGATATCCGATCGGATAATCCTCTTTTACTAAAATTCCACAGTTTGGTAATATTATTAGGAGAATATTCTCACTTGAGATACGTAAATTTAAATGACTGACATTATTGACAACGGCGTAGCATAATTAATTTTTATTGCAGCCATTTTTTCCATACATTTATTTAATTTTGGTTATGTGATTATATATATGTAATATCCAGTGATGTCAGTGAAATTAAAATGACAACTGCGAATATTGGAAGAATTATGTCATTTGTATTTCAAGTCGAAATCAATGTATTTATGATAAATACATTGATTTCGACTTGATAAATAATTTATCAATCTATTGGGTGTGTATCTTTATATCTTTTGTGATGTGTTTATCTCCACGATCCTTATGAATTATTAAAATAAAATACATGGAAGTGTATAATTTAAATAATCACTTAAATAATTTCAAATAAATTGTCTAATTGCTTGAAAAAATTCAGATATGTACAGATGGGATGGTCATTAACAAATTGACGGTGTTATCGACAATGGCCATCGTGTAAGTGCCTGTCATAGATTTTGTAAGAGAGTAGAAATAGTGCTTATTTAGGCCTGCGTAATACATCCTGGGTCGCATGGCGAGTAGCCTCTTGCGCAATTCTTTATCCTTCAAGCCTACTAATTCTCTCCATCTGGACAAAGTTGCTACGGAATTTTCGTAATCCTGAATCGCGAATGGGAGCAGGGTGAAAATAATGACGAGGGTGGTGGTCGATAAAAATGGGAACATTAAGTAGAAGACCCTTGGCAAGGCGGCGTCGAGGAATCTGATTGTGGCAAAATTCAGCAGGGATGAGATTATGAGGCCGGTTCCCATGAGGACAAATGTCATGGCTGCAAGGACGTTTTCCATCGCGGCGTTTAGTACACGCAGTTGATTGAACTGTACAAGAATTGCGTTTCTTTGAATTTCGGATTCCCCACTATTAATTTTAAGTAGTAGGGACATTATGATGGTAATAGGCATGACATTTGTGGAATGAATAAAAATTTTACCGCAGTTCTGAATTTAGCAGAATTTGCCCCGATTTGGACAATAGTTGGATGGGAACGCCCATAACGAAGGCGACGAACGGGAATATTCTGCACATTTCGGCAGATGCAATCCATATGGGGGCTACCCTGAAGGGGGTGAGGAATACGCTGTTAGCCACAGAATGCGGGAAAAGGTCTTCCAGGATGAAGATGAAGACATCCATTTTGAGAAGGTAGACACAAGCAAGTGCCACAGGGAGAGGGATGAAGGGCGCTGGTAACAAGGCCATTAGTAGGGTCAGACCTTAATAATATGCATAATTTTTAAACAAGATACTTAATCGATACTCTTAATATGTAGGCAGCCCTGGGTTCTTTCTAATTTTCTGTTTATTAATTAGGTATTACTAAAAACTAATCTAACTCTTAAATAATTGGTTTTTAAATATAGGAGGATTAATTCTTTTATAAAGTATTGGTATTTGGGGAAGGTAGGTAAATGTAGGTATTTAGAGAAATAAGTTAATTAGTAAAGCACAAAGGAATTAATACCGTACCTAGTCTGTCAATTTTTCCATCGGCGTCCAAAAAGTTCGGGATTCGTATCCCGCACAATTTTTCCTGTTTCGGAAATCTTACCCTCAGAGGATTGACAGATGGATGAAATTCTTCGTACAAACGAATTATTGTATTGACAACGATGACGGTCTCATCGGCGAAGAATGTGATGTAGATGCAGATGCCAATCACGAAAAGACAAGCAACGCCACCTAGCACGTATTCGACTAAGAAATGGAGTGGCAATCGTCTCTGGAGATTGGTCATTTCGCCGTAAAGAACATATCCGATGGAGCCACAACACAGGAGGAGGATATTGCCAAAGATGGCGACATACCACCAGAATGAGATTCCTCTTTTGTGGAAGAACCGCCTCCTTTGGGGATCCCATTGCAGGGGGCAGTTCCATAGGGGTCGGTTGAGACGGAAACTGGCGGCTATGGTAAACCAGACGAGGTTAAGAATATTATTGGTAACATACGATGTAGTTCTATGGCTTCATTATATGGCTCCGAGTATTATATGGCTTCATTAGCAGCAATTGGATGTAAATAAAGTGCGGCAAAGCACGATACATAAGTAGCACAAAAATGCTGAGAATGCATAACAAAATAAACCGTAGTAACGTTAGAAGTAGCTCACCCTGTAATAATGATTTGGTATAATTCGTACCAATGATACAGAAAAATCGGATAAAATAGATCCACAATTTTGGTATAATTATCCATTAATGATGCAGAATAATCGGACAAATAATACAGGTAATTTTGATATAATTTCGCACCAATGGTATGAAATAAGCGAGCAAAATGAATCCATAATTTTGACATCAAATCTTGGAAAACAGGTCAGAATTATAGTTATTTCCTCCGGTTTATCTGCAATTTCGGTGCGCTTTGCAACTATTTCCTGAATTATTTGGCACCATTTTAAGTCACGGATTTTTCGATGTCAGTGACGCTAATAATTCGGCCGCGAATGCCAATAACTCGCTTAAATTAGCATCAATTGATGCAAGAGAGTCGTTAACACACAGACGGACAGACGGACAGACGGACAGACGGACAGACGGACAGACGGACAGACGGACAGACGGACGGACAGGAGGAATTCAATAGCTCCCATGCTACGCAGGGTGAGCTAATAAAACAAATAATTCTCCGAGTCATATTTTAATAATGCCCAAACATCAATTAATTAATGATAAAATAATTATCTCCAATAAAATAATTGAGGTCTCCTCACTTATATCGAACCTCTCAGAAGAATCATGCATCATACATGTCTTATGTGTTTTTGCTTAACTCTAAAACACGAAATTTAACTGGATTTCATCCATAGATTAATTGGCGCTATAAATCTCATTTTGCCCCGATCACACCGCGACCACAACCCCTGACGCCGAGGGGGTGTGGTCCAAAAGTTTACGGGATCCTCCCCCTGGGGTCATATGTATGATGCCGCAAACCGATTTCGATTATCTTTATGCGTTCTCGAGTTATAGTGTTGACGGACAGACAGACGGACGGACAGACTAACTAACCGATCGCATAAAGTAGCTTGGGCTACTTAATAAAGATTGGATGAATAAGTTAATTGTAACTGTATTGGTATCTTAAACAAATTCGGAGGTTGATAGCTTAAATAACTTAAAACTAATATGTTTAGAAAATCATGAATTTGTCTAGGAAAAATAATTGAGTTACATATTTAAGCAGTTCCGTCTGTCTGTCTGTTTCTCTTCCTGTAACCCATCCATTCCATACTTTAGTCACAATTGTAAGGATAGGGGTTCATGAGCCACGGCTGCGTCCTTCCAAGCCCTGGTATTGGCCTATATCCAGATATCTGAGTTGAATTTTTTTTAAGGCTACGTCCAGGCCAGTCCTGAACCTGAGCCATATTGGCTATCTGGATATCTGGGTAGGTTATCCATCCTCTAAGGCTACATCCAGCCCAGCTGTGGCCTTGAGCCATATGGTCTATCGCAACATTACTGGGTTGTTCTGCACACAAAGCTGCCTCAATATTAGTATAAGTATTACCATGGGGACCAGTTAATTGCCTAGTATTTATGATATTTCTAAACCAACTCATTTTATAATTGCTCTTATTCATACAAGTTACTTGAGTAGCTACTAATTTTAAAAGATATTAAGTAGGTAGACGAAACCGAGCAATTTTTCAGCTTTAAATAGATGATAAAAATTAAATGAATTATTAATGAACTTGCCGTGCGTTGTATATCGATATGGATTAAATTGATCATTCTGTAAGAAATAGTTGCTACTAATGATGGTAAAAGAAAGTACGTAGGAACAAATGTTTAGTTAGGTTGGCAAATATGCGTAAACTGTGAGTCTAAATTTTGGTATACTTGTTTAATGGTAACAAACCACAAGGAGAAAATTAATCTCTTCTTTTAAGGCACACTGCTACTGGAACCAGCGGATGTATGATTTATAGCATCGGAGAGAAGGAAAATGGTCCAAGATTTGCTATATTCTGGCACTTAACTAAAATAAATTTTAAATTCATGGTATAATTAGATTCATTGTACGGTCGGTGCCGTACAACATGATTCACTCCGATCCTTGGTTCAGAATTAAATTTTTATTCAACGGGGAAAGGGTATCTGGAAGCTAATGGCTACTACGATCCAACCTGGGCTAACCACGTGTACACGGAGGACAGAGATTTTAAGATAGTACGTAACAAAATAAAGTACTAATACTTACAAGGGAAACTGAAGTACTGTCACACCTCGATTTCCTTTCCAACAGGATTAATCGATAGATAAATTAGTGAAACTTAAACTTTGTTATAGAACATGGGGTGCAAAATCACGTTTCCGCGAAATATTTGGCAAGAGCTAAACCAAAACGTGCATTTTTCAAATGCTTTTCACGCAGCCAGCAGCCTAGTGAAGCCTAGTGATTAAACCTTAAAACTATGTACGTAGCTACATAAAGTTATATCATGCAAACGACCACTACTTAATATTTATGAAACTTTACATATTTGCATATTAAACTTTGCACATTTTACATGTGTAAAATGTCACATTTCTTCACTGTCATTGAAAGTCAAGAACATTTTGCTACGTTTACACAGTCACCGGGTAATCATAGGTCTAAATAAAGGTGATTTTTAAAATCCCCGTCATAAAGTACATCTACGACGATCACACTTCACATTTGTCCGAGATTTGTACATTTGTTTGAAATATGCACATTTTACTCATTGCATAAACAGTGTCAAACTAATGGTGGTTTTTTAAATCTCCACCATAAATAACGTGTAAGACCGTCACACCAAAAATAGGATATTTAAAATAGGATTTTAGTATACAGGATACTAAACAAGCATAATACACGTGTCTAAAATGTGAGTATTACGTGCGTAAAATTTTTATTCAAATAATACTCACATTTTACACATGTGTATTATGCTTCTTTTATGCTTCTGAATTACACGAGTAATAGCTTACTATTAGACGCATCTGGATGCTTTTATGCGCATTTTAGTTGCAAAATTTCCTTCCAATCGACGCGGATTTTAGCTGTGTGCCAGTTCTTATTGGGGAGAGAGAATGTGTGTATGGTGTCGTGCATATTCCACTGGGATTAGGAACCTTCCCAGAATTTTCACAAATGTTCCCGGCAGCTAAGAGTGCAGATTATTTTACACAGAAAATCAATACAAATACATGTATAAAATTCTGACTCAGAAAAACTCTTCTAACTTTCTGTCGCCAGCGATCAGGAAACCAATTATTTTGCATCAAATAACATTTTAGGAAAGGCATACGACAAAATATTCAAAACTTTCCCGATCGGTGGCGGCGGATGTTTAAATTGGGTTTCAGAAATGCATTTAAAACTCTTTTATTTTTAGAATTTTGAGACGCTGAAAACATTATGTGCAACTAATCTACGGATAAGATCTTTGTAAATTACGACTAATAGCCAACATTTGCAGTTTTTGTAATACTTAAGAATTTTGGTCGGTGTGATTTTTTTCAAACGGAATATTCCAGTAAATTTTCAACATAAATTAAGGCAGGAAAACGCGTCAAACTTAAATTTTTGTGTCTCATCATTTTTTAAAAATTATGGGCAATTTCATGCCCGCCTCGATTTGATAGTTTCTCTTTGTATAAGCCTCCTACACTTTGAAATGTATTTTAAAAATTAAAACAACCTGTCAATCATCGGTCTGGCAATGCTAAAGAGGGAGCCCTCACACTCTTAGAAATAGGGTTACGATTATAACCAAAAAGTAAACGTATGTGACTCTTCCGCCGTGGTTATGAATTTGCCATCAAGTGGTTACAATTGTCACCGACTAATTATAAAGTTTCACCGACTTGGTATTAAATTTTCACCAGAACTAATAAATTTATAACCAGTTGGTGACAAATTCATAACCACAACGGTGGAGTCAAATACGTTTATTTTTTGGTTATAATCGTAACCCCATTTCTAATATTGCACAGAGTCCGTTCTCTGTGTTGAAGATCCACTCATCACCACCAGAGTTATATGTTGAGATGGACTGTAATGGATTGCAAACCAGATTTATAATCTGACATCCAATGACGTTAAAGGATTAAATTTTCATTTTTTTTCACTGAGACCGAAAAAATTTGTTCTGAGATTATGTGTATAACCCTAAATAATCACACTGGGCGTTAAAACTTGTTTTATTGAAATTTTGGATAATGAAAATTTTGGTAACAATTTTAGATGAAAGTCATAATGAAAATTTTGATGACAATTTTGGATGAAAGTCATAATGAAAATTTTGATGACAATTTTGGATGAAAGTCATAATGAAAATTTTGATGACAATTTTGGATGAAAGTCATAATGATAATTTTGATGACAATTTTGGATGAGAGTCATAATAAAAATTTTGATGACAATTTTGGATGAAGGTCATAATGAAAATTTTGATGAAAATTTGGTGAAAATTTGAATGTAAATTTCGATGAAACTTTGTTATTGAGAAAAGGAAGCTTGCGTCGGGAAAAGGTCACTGCCTTGCTACGCCTTCCATTATTAAGTTGGCGTGTCAATGGGTCCCCAATCGCCTATTTTGATCAATATGAAATTCAACACGAAAAATTATGTTTGCAAGTGCTATTTTATGTCATGAGTATGAATTGTACCTGGAGCTCCACTGTATCGTTACCTTCCCTAAGTTAGAAGATGGTTCTGATCCGACCAGTGCTGGGGGTCATCAAAGTCGGATGTACAGACTAAAAGTCGGATTTTTGAATATTTTATATATAAAATCCATGCAAACATATTTTTTCCGAATTTACATCAGTTTTGAAAATTGACAAACCTTAATTTCGGGGGTTAGTGGCAACGAGGGGTTTACGGAAGTTACTGTCAAAAAGAGGTTAAGATACAGGAATGTTTGTTGTAAATGTGGCCAAAATGGCACTGTGAAAATTGTTAACATTATTGACACATCGGTCAATATTTGGTTGATTATTTTAATTATTTTAATAATAACACCACAATTTTACTCGACGGCCATGTGGTGTGGCACTTCAACGCTAAATACATATCTTACAACGGATTCGAAATGTTTACACACTCTAATTATATGAATACATATATATATGACCCTGGGTTGAATGCCAGTTAAATTATTAAATACTTAATTCAGAATGACAGAGGGTAGCAACCTCAGAGATGCATAAGCTTGGTAAAAGTTGTCATTTATTCTCTATGAAAAATTTTACAAGTGCACAAATCTGTCTATGGCTATGTGTGCATAAGCTACAAAAGTAGTAACAAATATGTGCAAAATGCTACTATTTCAGTTGTCTTAACCCTGTATTTTTCCCTTGGTCATGGATGAACGTGCCCTTAACGAAGTCAACGTGCAAAGTTATAATAAAATATAAAGCTTACTAAAATAAATGCAATATTTCTAAACATATAGTATTTCCCCTAGGTTTCCCATAAAGGGAAAGTCACGAAAAACTGAAAAACAAGGGCTAAGTTCAATAAAGCATTAAACAAGATATTAGGGACTTCCAAGTTTGTCAAAAAAATCGCGTTTTTCGCTTTCCCCAACTTTTTCGTATCTTGTACATATACAAAAAAGCAGAAAAAAACGATTTTTTTGACAAACTTGGAAGTGCTGTTGAAGAAGAATTATGGCAACTGCTTACAACGCGGGTTTCCAAAAACATAATGAAAGTTGTATTTTTGTTCTAAACTGAAACATATGCGCTCAAAAATGAAACCAGAAATGAAACGACTATTATCAGGCCGATGTTGTGAAAAAAATTACCACGACCACCATTCCAACTTGCAGTTTCACAACATGTCGACTTATAAGCCGTCCAGGGGCAGCCCCACTCGACCCCTTTTCCCCTTGCAGTCATAACATACCCCCGACGACACTCGGCCTCTCCGCTGTTCGTGCAAGTCGTATTGTAACAGTGGCCCAGTTGGCGGGAGTCAGAGCAACAATACAGCTTCGTATCTAGGCTACTGCTGCACCCCTGGTTACCCCGAGACTGTTCCCTGTACCCGTTGGGACACCGGACCGAGTAGGTGGACTCGCACAGGGTATCGATACACTCGGGGAGGAGATCTTGACGACAGCACATCATCCTCTCCCGACCGCTTGCACAAGCTGTTAAAATTTTGAAAATTTTGAAAATTTTTGAGGGAACATTTAAACCTAAAATTTTTTTATAACCAACTTTTTCTGTCAGTAAACATTTCTCTGTAAGATAACGGACATCTGGGGTATTGTTGACAGTCTGAAAATAGACAACCTTCCGGTGTTCCGCGGGATTGTTGTTGGTCTAAAAAAGAAAATTTAAAATAATCACAAACCTGTTTCCGTAGAATTATATATTTTTCTTTGAAAAAAAAATTCACCCCGTGTAGAAAACCCGTCTCTTCTTCCGGCAAATTGGAAATCATTGTTTCCCGGGCGACAACAGGTTTTTCGCGACATTCGCCAGTCACACTCGTTCTGTCCTGATGAGGGGATATTTCCCTCTAAAAATCCGGTTGCGCAGGTCGGATTATCTGCACATGCGTTTTGTAACAGGTGGGGAGTTGGCCATCCGCGCAGCAGTGGAGTCTCTGCTCGTTCCCGTTTCCTCGACAGGCGCCCGGCTCCCGGCTCCATTCCCGGTAACCGGTGGGACACCTTAGGTTCGTGGCAGACTGGCAGGAGGTATCGTAACACGGCGGAAGTTGACCGGGACGACAGCAAAGTTTTCGTTCTCGGCCTTGTGTACAATCTGAAAATAAAAAGGGGGTAATTGGGTTTGCAGAAGTGTAAAAATTCTATAAAACCCGGAGAAAAATTTTTCTCACAACTTTTGTCCGTTGATAATTCATACGAATGTGTCCCTGGGCATCGTGGCGAATAAGTTTCGCAATTAGTGTATTGACAAGACTCGGAGCGGAAATCGGAGCCACCTACATATAAAAAATTAGGAAAATCAAGATTTTCAATTTTTCGAGACATTTAATGGTAAATTGTTTGTTTTTTGAAAAAAATTCTGAAATTTTACCCTGATAATTCTGTTGCTGATTATAATTATTATTTTGGTTTGGATAACTATTTTGGTAATTACGATCATAATTTGGTTGATTATTTTGAAACGGGTTGTTTCCTTGTGTAAAGGGATTCTGATTTTGAAGGTTTTGCTCAGATCTACAACAAGTCCGCATGTCCAAGTGGGGTGGACACTCCCAACCGGCCCCTTTCCAATAAGCGACCTGACTATACCCGCCTGGACATTGGTTTGAAATATCTCCCGCGGGGGAGCACGTGGTGTTGAAGCACTGCGGGAGATGGCCGTCTATGCAGCAGTGCAGCGTGTGCTCGTCCCTGCGCCCACACTGCGCCGCGCCGCGGCTCCATTCTCGGTAGCCGTTGAGACGAGGGCGAAGGGCCGGCGCAGGGGGTGTGGTAGCAGAGCGGCGTGCGGCCAGGGGAGCAGCAATATTTCTTCTCACGGCCACCAGGACACGCTGGGGGAAAGGTAACAGTTTTAACGAAATAATTAATTGGGAATATTTATTGGAAGGGGTGACGACAGGGTGCATAAACTTTTTGGTTTTTCCGTGGTTTCTCCTAAGGGGATGATGCAAGGATGAAAATTGTCATTCAAAAATTTAAAGTTGGGGAATTGCATGCAATTTGATATGCGGTTGACAACAAAATTAAAGGGAAAATTTCATGCAATTCCCCAACTTTCAATTTTTGAATGACAATTTTGAATGACATCCTTGCATCATCCACTTAGGAGAAACCACGGACAACCAAAAAGTTTATGCAGCCTGGGCTGAGTAGTATGAGTTTACCGGCTATGAAATAAATTGTAAATTGGGGCTTAAAATTTGATTGAATTTTTAATAATTAGAACCTCTTTTGGACCCTAACTTCAAAGCCCTTGTTGCCATTTACCTCAGAATTTGAGTTTTGTTAATGTTCAAAAATCACACGAATTCGAAAAAAATAAAAATTCCATATGTTTACATGGAGTTGATATAGAAAATATTCAAAAATTCGGCTGAAAGAATTCGACTTTTCACCATGGTGTTTGTCATTTATTGTCAATTTTCTACTTTCATGTTAGTTGACAATGGAAAATTTCTCTTTATCATATTTGGTCTCTAAGGAACTTGGTTTAAAATACACGATATGGGATAATTTTAATTGTTTGAAATGCATGTAATTTTTCTGTTTTGAAAAAGTGTGTTTTGCATTGTCACATAAGCAAAGAAAATATGTATAGGTCTCAAAATTAATGCAAAATTCCAGTTTTTTTTAGTCAGGTACAAATTGAAAATTTTAAATTTTGACGGTGCAGTACACACATTTGTGTAGTATTTTATTTTCCCTTGAGGACGAAATACACAAATGTGTGTAATTTTACATTTAATCTTTACAACCAAAATAGATGACAAAATTGAAAAATGGATTAACTTAATTGTAAAATGTGGAAAAATTCGTGGTAAGAAGTGGACTTTTTTAACCTGAACTTTTTCTGCATCAAGGCCATCCACAAAAGTGGATTTTTCGAGTGTTTCGACTTTTTTTAAATTTTGAGTTTTGCAATTCTAAAATAAATCAGTCCATAACGACTTTTCAAATAATTTAATTTAGTAACAAAAAGGTTAAGTAGGAAATAACGGACAATACGATGATAGTGAAGTGTAACCCTCCGATTTGGCTGAAATTTTAAAATTGTGTGGTCCAAATCAATACAACCAACGTTTCTTGGGACAGTTTGTGCGATGGTTGGAATTTGTCGAAATATTTGACCTCAAATTTGAAAAACGGACGACTTTTTGATTGGGTTTGCTTCCTCCGCTTGGTAAAAATCACCCCTTTTTCAACTTTTATCTCAAATATTTTGACCAATTCCCACCATCGCACAAACTGTCCCAAGAAACGTTGGTTGTATTGATTTGGACCACACAATTTTAAAATGTCCCCCAGATCCCAGGGTTACACTTTACACCATCCCCTTATGAATTTTTTTAGTAATCGGGTTTAATACTAAACAAAATATTTTTCTCACTGTATCGCTCCGTGTAAAGTTCCATCCATCCATGCGGACATTTTGCGTAGGAATCACAATTTGTTAAACTGCATTCTTCCACATGCTGCGAATTCGGGGTATTTCCCGACCCATCAAAATACTGTTGACCTCCTATTCCCGCAACAAGGATACTTAGCAGGACAAAAAACACGGTCACCAAGTGTTTCACGGACTAACAAAAATACGAAATTTTGTAAGTTAAAAATTAAGCCGATATATTTATGTAAATGTTACCGTTGTCATTTCCATCAAATTTATAGTTCCCCCGTTCAATTGACTAAATATCGCATTCCGTTTGATTTCCACGAAATATTTATTTAATGTTAATTATGTATTTATAAAGAGCACAAAATAATACTGCTGGCGACTACGTGACTTTGTGTGCGAGAGGATAAAAAAACTTTTGCTTTTGTGACATGTGTGCAAAATTTCTCTCTATATCCAACCAGTTTTTATTAGAATATGTGTATGTATCTGGATGTGAGGATGCATGCTGGTAAATATTTATAAAGGTGAGTAATTGTTTATCCCTCGTTGTACACACTTCCTTCGTTGCCAGGTAACCAGCCCCACAATAAAAAGAGCATAACAGAGTCAAAGTAGTGATGATGGGATGAGTGTGCGTTGGGAGGCAAAAAATACAGGTTTGGGAACGTGCATATATTACGTCGTCATTTTAAAGGTTTTGATGGACTATCTTGCCCTTGTTAAAATTCCCTGTCCCTTAATGTTTACGTTGGGTGGGTGGGTGCTACAATTTTTGATGACGTAACACATGGATGGCCCCTATGCAAACCTGTGAATATGTGTAATTTTGACGCATTTTCTTCTGCCAGGTTTCATAATGAGAGGAGGGGGATGTTATGAATTGGATTTTGATTAATTGACCCGTGGCCCCGTGTTGCGTATCCTCTAATGCTTACATTATGCTAATGCTTAATATTAATAAGTGATGTATGTTCCCACGTGAAAACTATTTTGATTTGATTTGATTTGATAACCTTTATTCACGTGTCAATAGAGATCAATTCATTACAAATTGGTTTACACACCATGACACAATTATAGCTAATTCTCTATATTAAGCACATAACTAATTCTCTATAGGCATTTAACTAACTAAACTCACTCCTTAATAATAGAAATTTTCGTCATTACGTTTAGTAATTAACCATTCGCGACACAATTGTGTGAATTTTGGATAACTCAAATTCCCATCCCAATCACGTGGCAAAGAGTTCCAAAGTTTAATTGAGCGGTAATTAATACTTTTCTGCGCAAATGTAGTTCTCGTTGTGCGAAGGGTTAACAAAGGGAACGTACGTCTGTTTGAAGATACTGATTTCAGATGTAATAGGTTCTTAAATGCATACTTAAATAGTCCACCCATTCGGATAACGAATGTAACGACCTAAAAAGTTTATTACAAACGGTGTATTCATAATTTCTATAAAACATGCTAAAATTATGTAACCCATTTCGTATTAAAATATAATTGGTTAATCACGACTAAAATAATGGACATTAATATTTTGTAAATTCTAGAAAATTTTAACCTCTGTTGGAATTTAATATGAATGCATTTTTCTTAACAAGTTTTATAAACGTGAAGAAATTGTGGTCATAATTTTTTATTAAATTAATTTAAGCAACTGAATTAATAATATTTATTTAATATAGTTATAAAGCGCCTTCTTTTTCAGATTGTCACCGATTGGAAATAAGATTTAACTATTTTATTCCTTCTATATTTTTGCAATTTTGTTAGCCATGATCTCCACCGTTTCATTGATTCGTAGCATCGTTTCGACGCCAATTCGTAATTCTAGGGGAAATTTGGTGGATCGATTTCCCCTCTATAATAACGCGTTATTTGGCATTTTGCAAGGAATGGTTCATTTAAATTTTCTCGTGCTGGGAGGTTATAAAAAATGGGTCGTTTTCTTCTTAGGGAGTTCAGCAATGTTTTTGTTGTGATGAGTAAAATAAATGTTATTACTTACCATAAAGAAAACATATAGAAGTAGAGTCGCGAATCCAAATTTTGAAATTTATTGTCTCGTCTCTACTTTTATTTTTTTTAATTCAATAAATTTAAAAAAAAAGTTTCTTTTTAAACAATGTTGAGAAAAAGGGGTCGAATTTCTTGGAAAACTTAACTGGGAGAAAGAGCTTTAATTGTTTGTCAATTCTGCAGATTTGAGTTAGCACAACAATTTATAATTTACAATTGTATTTTTTACAGGTATCAGCAAATATGTCTCCATTGCGGTTTATAAGTATTTGGCAGGGTATGCTACCCCGGATTTTTGGGGGTATTGGGGTTTTGGGGTAGCAAATATGAGCAGCGCCCAAGGGTAGTCGGGATTTTCAAATTTTGTAAAGTATGGTAACTCGGCTTTACTACAACTCTATAACTAAATAAGTTACTAAAATTGAATTAATAACCTTATTTTAATTGAATTAATAACCTTATTTTATGTTAATTTTAACTTTGTTGCGAAATTGCTGGTTGTTTTGCAACTGAATTCACGATGCATTGGGTCAACTTACCTCCAAAATCCTTACTACCCCGACTACTCGCGAACCCCAGGTAAAAGCCCTAGGTATGGGTTTTCAATGGCAAAACCCGGGGTTTTCCTGACCCTGGTATTTGGACCTCTCTTGTCGAAAACATGTCTCCCCTGGAAGGTACGACTGGCGTTTCCGCGTCCTTGGCTGGACTCTCCGTCTTTGTTTTCTTTATGCTACATGGAATTGGAATTTCGAGATTTTGGCAAGTTTTATTTATGAAATTTTAACCATGCATAAACATAAGAAAGAACATTTCCAGCAAATTTCATTAAAAAAATATTAGTCAAAAGAAGGCTAGATTAGTATTGGTCCAAAATGGTGAGGAATGTTATCAAATCGTGGATAGAAATTATTACAGAGTTGAATTTCATTTTTAACGTTTTAATTGGCAAATTTACCACAAATTTATTTCGAGTGTATTTTCCTGAACCTCTTGTCAGTTAAATACCTCATATGACGTATTTATTTCAAAACATGTCCCCAAGAGACCAAATACGTGATGTCACATATAAAAAAATCCCTTGCATACCAAATATATACATATCTGCATATTTTTTCAAAAATGCAGATCTCACAAAATTTATGCAATACCAATGTTTCTTTGGTAATTTGTGGAAAACTCGATGGTAAAAGGTTGGATTTTTTGGATTTTTTTCTTCACAAATTTTTGAATTTTCCCCAAACCGACCAATGTTAAAAAGTGGAGTCTTCGTGATTTTCTTCAAAACACTCAAACCTTTGGAAACTTCACTTGGTGATCATATCCACTAAATATCTCAATTTTTGAAATTTTGAATTTTGTTGAATGAGTCACCAGCAGTAGAATGTCCAAAATTTCACAAATTTCAAAAATGTTGATATATCTACTGGATGTATAAGGATATGGATATGGTATAAGTACGTATAAGGATATGGTAGCAGGTAAATGTAGTTTCTCGGTAAGACATAATGTGCGTATTTGTCCACTAATGAATGTTGATAGTTTATCGTCGCAAATTTATCGAAAGTCGGTTAAATTTCGTACGATAAGTTATGGAACAATTTGCCGAGAGATCTGGATGTAAGGAATATGTCTTATAACAAATTTAAACAATTTTTATGTGATGACATGCTTAAATAATAAAGAGTAATGTGCAGTATAAATTTTTAGATATAGTTTACAGTTAGTTAAACATAATTGTTTATCTTGTGTAAGAGCATGGTTTGTAACTGTGAACTGGTTAGACACTTGAATAAAGCTTCAATAAATAAATCAATCAATCAATTAATCGATACTTATTACTATGCAAAACAGTTTGTTCGACTCTAAATTTAGTCAGTAATCACGACACGAGGCAAGTTTATCTTTCCACATTTCGTAACACCTCGAGTGTTGGAAATTCCGTGAGTTCACCTCAAAATCAGTGTTATCCTAATTAATTATTAATGTACTTAATTAGGACACCAAAAAAATGTCTCTAATTAATTACATTAATAATTAATTAGAGACATTTTTTACCAAAGTAATTAATAATTATGAACTAGTTACTCTGATACTATTTAGTAAATTACAATTACCAAAATTCTCATTAATTTTATGCGATATTTTCGTAAATGTGAAAATTTGCGAGATTTGCAGTTGTTATACGCGTTTCCACATGCATAGTCAATAGGAAATATATTTATATGTTAATTTGCCAGAATGAACACATCATTCGCACTTCGACATTCAATTGAAATTAGAAGTATTTGTTGAAGTTGTTCTTATTACGTGAGTTATTATGAGGATAAGGCATAAAATTATGAAAATTATCCTGTAAATTTGTAAACCACCCGACTTATCACAACTATTATATTATACACTGCTGAATTTCAATTATGCATATTTCTGTATTTGCATTTTGATCTGCGATGAAGTTTTCGTTACAAGAATGGTACACTTTTATCAAGCTGGTATAATTTATGAAGGCGTCAGTGATGTTATTTATTTCGATAAATAATAGAAAATTTGGTATAATTAACTTAATTAATTACTAGTGAAGTAATTACGCTTGTTGAGTAATTAAAAATTAAGCAATTGATTATTTTCTTTAAAAGATATGTAATTAGTTATAATATAAAGTAATTATACAACCCTGCTCAAAATGAATATACCCCTTTAGCCCGCAATATAAACCTTTGCACAACAAAATTTCCACCCACTTGTACCATAATTGTTGCCAGGTTCAGTTCAACTTCAACTTTAGAAAAAGAAAACACTTCAACCATGACAAAATCCGAGCACTCAATTTACATGACAATTTTCTCACTTATTCTACTTTCATCTTATTCATTAGGACAAGAAATTTGTTCCGACGAGTCGCGCTTCTGGCCGCATCATAATTGTTCCCTGTACTACGAATGTGTCGTCGAAGGGGATCCCATCATACGACAATGCCCACCCGATTTATACTGGAGTGACCCAATTTCTGCTTGCAATCTTCCCGAGAATGTGCCAGAGTGTGGGGGAGGGACGAGGTATGTACCACCTATTTACAATGCGTAGGCATGGAGTGATTTTCTCAGATTTTTCCGGATAAATTTTAAATTGTTCACCACCAAAAATAAGCAGACCCGTATTTTTGCATTTTCCAGAATGCATCCGTTTTGACGCTCTGCGGGATTTTCAAAAAAATTTCAAGTCCAAAATGACCTCCGAAACCATATAAATATTCGAATTTAAAAAAATTCGAGTTTTTCAAAGTTTCATGGCTTTATTAATTTCTCATAACTCAGAATAACTCGGATGATATAAAATTGATTTTGAAAAATTTTGACATTTTTATGCATTTTCTGAGTTAGGAACAATTAAAAAATCTTTGATATTTTGTAAAATTCAAATTTTTATATTGCTTAGGAGTTCATTTAGGATGTTTTCGAATTTTTGAAATGGGGCCAAAGTTCGAGAAGTTATAGCGTGTTCAAAACCTATGATTTTGGCTTGATTCTTTTCAAAATCCTCCTAATCGCCAAAACGGAAAATGCAAAAATGCGGGTCTTGGTAGTGAACAATTTGAAATTAATCCGGGAAAAATGTGAGAAAATCACTTCATTCCTTCGCATTGGTAGTATTTTAACCGTGTCAAGATTTTGAATTTTTGATTTTTCCATTACAGGCCACCAATTACAACGACCACAACCCCAACGACTCCCCTACCAACGACAACAACCCGCCCAACAACTACCCGACCAACGACAACAACACGCCCACCAACAACACCCACAACCACACTCCCCACGACACCCTCAACCACAACGCGTCCTACAACGACAACAACTACAACAACGCGTCGACCTTGTCCCTCTGATTGCAATAGTGATAGTCAGTGTTGCACATCGGGTGGATGTTACCTAGGCAACTGTGTAAGTTCTTAAATAATTCGGTGTAAATTTTGACTCGATTTTTTTTCTTAATTAGGTTGGGTGTCGCACGATCGGGGTAACTTGCCAGCATGATTCCCAATGTTGTGCATCTGGGGGGTGTTACACAAATAAATGCGTATTCAGACAATAATTCCCACTGAAATTGAGTATCCCGACCAAAATATTATAATTTTATTTTCAGATTTCATGCAGAACTTTGGGAATGACGTGTCAAAGTAGTAGTCAATGTTGTGGGGGACGATGTGCACTTGCGGGTCGTTGCGTGAGTAGTTTAAAAATTTAAAAATTTATTTCCTATAAATTACTCCGATTCTGCTAATGTTTGATTCGGAATTCTTGAAACAGGCATAAAAAATGAACACACAGTTTCACTTATGAGAGAATTACAGGACGGGGTCCGAGATGAAGTTTAAAAATGTAAAAAATAATGTGAAGTTTGTGTAATTCAATGAATAAAAATGGTTGTTGAATAAATATGACTCAAAATAATTTTAATTAATTAATTTTAATATGATTAAACATTGATATCCAAAATTATATTTGTGAACATTTTCATATTGCACGAAATTTAATGAGACAAGAAATTACTGATATTTACCCGATAAGCTAAAATCTACGGAGAATTTGCGGTCTATTACTTTCCAAAATTTAAGTTTTGACATAATAATTTGATATAACAATTTTACATAATAATCCAATATAAAATTGGGTAGAATTTAAATGCACAGTCGATAATAAGAACTTGCTTATGATGTCAGTGGAAGTTAGTCATACTCGGTAAGATAATTTTATCAGCATTTGCCAACAAACAGAGCTGATAAACTGCTCTCAGATTCATGCATACATAAGGGTTCGGAAAAACCCAGGGTTTTAATCAAAAATAATAAACCCCACGGGTTTTAATGGATCTTGCCATGTTAAGTGGGTTTTACTTGGGTTTTATTGGGTTTTATTGGGTTTTATTGGGTTTTATTGGGTTTTATTGGGTTTTATTATCTATATTATAATTTCGAAAAGTCCGTCCCGTGAAATTTTCCGTGACATTCCTGCGTTCTGATTGGCTGCTGGGTTTCTGTATCTGCCAATCAGAGCACGAGTCGATTTTCGATGATTATGGTCATGGTTGTGGTCATGGTTATGGTTATGGTTATGGTTATGGTCATGGTTATGGTTATGGTCATGGTTATGGTTATGGTTATGGTTATGGTCATGGTTATGGTTATGGTCATGGTTATGGTTATGGTCATGGTTATGGTTATGGATCTGGTTATGGTTATGGTTATGGTTATGGTTATGGTTATGGTCATGGTTATGGTTATGGTTATGGTCATGGTTATGGTTATGGTTATGGTTATGGTTATGGTTATGGTCATGGTTATGGTTATGGTTATGGTTATGGTTATGGTCATGGTTATGGTTATGGTTATGGTTATGGTCATGGTTATGGTTATGGTTATGGTTATGGTTATGGTCATGGTTATGGTTATGGTTATGGTCATGGTTATGGTTGTGGTTATGGTTATGGTCATGGTTATGGTTATGGTTATGGTCATGGTTATGGTTGTGGTTATGGTTATGGTTATGGTTATGGTTATGGTTATGGTCATGGTTATGGTTGTGGTTATGGTTATGGTCATGGTTATGGTTATGGTTATGGTTATGGTTATGGTTATGGTTAAAAAAATTCCTTAGCAACGTTAAAAAAATTCCTTAGCAACGTTAAAAAAATTCCTTAGCAACCTTAAAAAATTCCTTAGCAACGTTAAAAAAATTCCTTAGCAACGTTAAAAAAATTCCTTAGCAACGTTAAAAAAATTCCTTAGCAACGTTAAAAAAATTCCTTAGCAACGTTAAAAAAATTCCTTAGCAACGTTAAAAAAATTCCTTAGCAACGTTAAAAAAATTCCTTAGCAACGTTAAAAAAATTCCTTAGCAACGTTAAAAAAATTCCTTAGCAACGTGAAAAAAATTCCATAGCAACGTTAAAAAAATTCCTTAGCAACGTTAAAAACTTCCTTAGCAACGTTAAAAAACTTCCTTAGCAACGTTAAAAAAATTCCTTAGAAATATATGATTATAGATCAAAGTTAGGAAGGATATACTGAGCTATTATATACTGCAACAATTTCATAATTTAAGATGTCTTCAGTCAATCTTAAAATCGGCCCGTCTTTAAGACGGGCTTCTGGGCTAGTGTTTTAAGTAATAACGTAAAAAAATAATTCGCAATTATTACAAATTCAATCCCAATCATGTACAAATTTCCTTTGTCCATATTGGAAATTTTATCGATTTCGAAATTATATTTTTTTTATAACACTTGAAATCTGTAATGCTAGAGGATGGAGTCAATCGTTGATTTGTTCTGGATTTTCATGTTATAATAGTGATCAAATAAACTGCTTAGGTGAATTGAGTTAACGTCTTCTAATGTATAGGAGACGTACTTGACTTTCTAGAATGTAATTTTAAGGTAAAACTCAATTAAAACCCAATAAAACACATTAAAACCCAAATAAAACCCACTTAACCTGGTAAAACCCAATGGGTTTTATTCATTTACAACCCATTAAAACCCAATAAAACCCAAACAATTAAAACCCAGGTCGGAATACCCTGACATACATATACTTACGGTGTGTTTCAAAAGTTTCTCCCTCCGCCTCTCGCGCGCGATTTTTGGGTATAAATTGGGCTACAATTTTTTCACCTGTTATTTTTTCGAATTTATTTTTTTGGCAAAATGAGCCCAAATGTCAAGCCTGCTCGTGAGGAAGAAAGAATTAGAATACAAGTCCTATCAAGTGAAGGATATGGTGTTAAAGAAATTTGTGAAAAACTGAAAGTGTCCCCAAAAACGGTGAGGTTGTGGAGAGAGAAAAATTATTTTAAGGACAAGAAAAGGCTAGAAATACCGACAGTACTCTCCCCTACAACAAAACGTCAAATAAAGTAAAAAATGTACCGTAAACTTGGTAGTTCCTCCAGAAAAACCGCAAGAGTCTTAAACTTCACAAAACGGTACGAAACGAAGAAGGAGCATATTTCCGCGACAACTGTTCTTAGGTACCTCAAAACAACAAATTGGGGTCAGAAGGCATATCGGAGTACTAAGAAAACACTTTTAAGCAAAAAGAATATTGAAGACCGGCTTAAATTCGGAGAGATTGTCGAAAAAAGTGGATTTTAACGTCCAGGACGCGGGGGGAGAAACTGAGGTCAAACATCCTTTCCACTGATGAGAGCTGGATTAAACTGCATGGACAATACACTCCACAAAATTTGAGATACAGGACAAAAAATAGAGAGGACGTCCCACCCATTTTAAAGCCCAAACACGACCTTCAAATCATGGTCGCTGGTGGATTTTGTGCTGGCGGCGTCTCAAAGCTTCATTTTGTGGCACAGGGTGAAAAAGTCAATGCTGCCTATTATCAAAAAAAATTCTTCCCGTACACTTCGAGGCCATGGAGGGCACTATATTTTCAAGCAGAAAAAATATTGTTTTTCAACAAGATGGAGCCCCAGCACACACGGCAAAGTCAACAATGAAGCTGCTGGAAGACAAAGTTGGAACAGTCTGGGGAAAGGGGGTGTGGTCCGGAAATTCACCGGACTTGAACCCAATCGAAAACCTATGGTCCATACTAAAGGAGTCAGCATACCAGGAGCCTTTTCCCAAAACAAGACTAGAAGTGCAAGCCCGTTTCGAAGAAAAGTGGAATTCGCTTCCGGTTTTCCTTCTACAAAACCTGGCACAAAGTTTTAAGACAAGGGTCGAGGAAATGATGAACAATGCCGGTGGACACACATCATATTAGGGTACTTTGAAAAAAATAAAACAGTTCGAATATTTCAGCCTAAATTTTCCTATAACCTAATGAAAATTTTGGTGATTTAAGGGGGAGAAACTTTTGAAACACACTCTATAATGTGCAGGAGTACATCAGTCACATAAGTATGCCATACGGTATGTTGAAAATCATCTATTAAGCAAACTGTTCGACTATAATTTGCATGTATTGCCACAGTGACCACACTAAGCTGTACATTCCCCATGCTTCTACCCTTTTTATTTACATATATCCCATCCTTTCAAAAGGGTACATATCCCCTCAAGAATGCAACCAGTGACTCCATAGAAATAGCCCGAGCCAGAGTATTCTAGAAAAAACTTGTCATCATATCCTCCCTAAAAACCATTATTATATATAAGGATTGAGTTAGGAAGTATTTCAAAATGACCAATGTACATGACGTCACATTACACAACGTCAAATTACGGGGTCTCGCCAGCTATGATCATCTTGCAGGTAAAAAATCTGGAATTTCTGTCAAATCCGTTCAAACACTATTACACTAGAGGATTGAAAACAAATATGACCCCATAAATCCACTGCTTAAAATTCAGAAACGAGGCGAGAGAATCAGTGTATGAAAAAAGTGGAAATTTTTTCGGAGAAAAAAATGTTAATCGCAGTAATCAACTGAATCCGGGATTATATAAATTATCAAATTCACGCAAAAAGTAAAAATTATTCAGGAATAATATACAGCTTACAATTACCAACCTCGTTTGAAAATGAAATATCTAAAACGTTGCCTTATTCAGACCGAGAAAGTGTAAAACGCTGCGATGATCACGACCAAGTAAGGAGCCGAATAAAACTAGAAATTCGGAATTGCACCCATTTTCAATTAAGGAATACTTGTTAAGTATTTCGATGCATTCCACATGCTATTTTCGTACTTGTGTAACATTGAGCATCATTAAAAAACAATTATAACTTTAAATGGGTTTTTGCAAACTTCATCACGACGAGTCGCATAAACGAGTTTTGAATAGGGTAACTACATTCCCCATCGAAAAGCGGTGATAAACACGATGGAACTATTTATAATATTCACCGACGAATACTTCGTCGACAAAATTAAGATAACTCCGCGGCACGAAATTTATACGAAATTTTTGGACTAGATTTTCCCACATTGATGGATTTTAAAAATCATTTTTAACTTTAAAAAAATTAATAAACTGAAATTGTAAGTCGATGTGTACCAGATGACCATACTGTACGTCGATGAATCCTCTTCCTCCAGGGGTGTTGGTGGATGCCATGCAAATAGTCGGACAGAGAAGGACCTGAATTAAATTTAGCATTTCGCAAAGGCATGGAGAGATCTGATCATACTATTTTGGCAAGTTGCGAAATATTTGGTTCCATGCGGATTTACTTATAAGAGTTTTGCACATATATACGTATGTAGTTCCCCATCTTCCTTACAACAATGTCTCATTAAAATTCGGTTGTGCAGGATATGACAGGTTTTATAAGGAAGTTCGAGCCCATTAATTTTAATTATCAACGTATCCTCTCAAAGTGTAACGTGTGGCGCATTGTGACTACTTAATAATTAAAGTCTTTCTGCAGCAATAGTACGTCAGTCCATGATCTACGTTGTGGAATCAATAA